GGAAAAAGGGGGTTTAAGGAGGTTGGGTTAGTATGTTTTGGGTGTTAGCATTTGCAACACATCTCTTCTACACCAGTCATGAAACTGTCAATTCACTACACCGTTATGTAGTATTTACTGCATGAAAACACTGCATGAAAACACTGCATGAAAACACTGCATGAAAACACTGCATGAAAACACTGCATGAAAAGGCTCAATTCACTCACAGAAGAAAATAAATAATTCAATGCTTGCAGTAATTAACTGCTTGAAAACCGGCCCAGGTAGCTTTACTGCTACAGGGTGGCCACTCTGTGCAGAATTATATATATATATATATACTGTATATACGTGATTCTTCATTTCTTAGTAGAGGGCACGCATGCGCATGCACCCCTCCGGCTGTGCTGTCATTTGTCACAGCACATGCCAATTACAGAGCTGTGTTCTGTGGCAGGGGATCTAGTTGTTTTCATTCCCTGCTATGCAAACACTGCAAACACTTGTTAGGCACATATTTAACCCTTTGATCCCCCTAGATAGTAACCCCTTCCTGCTCAGTGTCATTAGTACAGTGATGGTACATATTATTAGCACCGATCACTGTAACAATGGCAGTGGTGATGGCGGTGGCAGTTAGTTCCCACAAAGTGTCAGATTGGCAGCCGCACTATCGCAGTCTCGTTTTAAGTTGCTCATCTCCACCATTACTAGTATACAAATAAATAAATAAAAGTTCCAGGATATATCCCATAGTTTGTAGATGTTATAACTTTCGCACAAACAAATCAATATACACTTTTTGTTTTTTTTTTTTTTGTTTTTTTTATCAAAGACATGTAGTAGAGATTTTATTTTTTAATTTCTTTTGGGATATAATTTATAGCAAAAAGTAAAAAATAATGTTTTTTTTTAAATTGTTGGTCTGGTTTTTTTTTATATATCTATCTATATATAAAATAAAAAAAAACTTTCACACAAACAAATTAATATACACTTTTTGTTTTTTTTTGTTTTTTTTATCAAAGACATGTAGTAGAGATTTTATTTTTTTAATTTCTTTTGGGATATAATTTATAGCAAAAAGTAAAAAATAATGTTTTTTTTTCAAAATTGTTGGTCTGGTTTTTTTTTTATATCTATCTATATATATAAAATAAAAAAAAAACTTTCACACAAACAAATTAATATACACTTTTTGTTTTTTTTATCAAAGACATGTAGTAGAGATTTTATTTTTTAATTTCTTTTGGGATATAATTTATAGCAGAAAGTAAAAAAAAATAACTGTTGGTCTGTTTTTTTTTTTATTTCTATCTATATATAAAATAAAATAAAACTTTCACACAAACAAATCAATATACACTTTTTTGGTCTGGTTTTTTTTTATCAAAGACATGTTTTATTAATATGTTTTTTTTTTTTATTGTTGGTCTGGTTTTTTTTTAATATCTATATATCTATAAATATAAATAAAAAAAACTTTCACACAAACAAATCAATATACACTTTGTTTTTTTTTTTTTGTTTTTTTTTATCAAAGACATGTAGTAGAGATTTTATTTTTTAATTTCTTTTGGATATAATTTATAGCAGAAAGTAAAAAATAATGTTTTTTTTTTTCAAAATTGTTGGTCTGGTTTTTTTTTTTTATCTATCTATCTATATATAAAATAAAAAAAACTTTCACACAAACAAATCAATATACACTTTTTTTTTTGTTTTTGTTTTTTTTTATCAAAGACATGTAGTAGAGATTTTATTTTTTAATTTCTTTTGGGATGTAATTTATAGCAGAAAGTAAAAAATAATGTTTTTTTTTTTTCAAAATTGTTGGTCTGGTTTTTTTTTAATATCTATCTATCTATATATACAATAAAAAAAAAAAACAGATATACATTTCGTTTGGGAACAGCGTTGCATGACCATGCAATTGTCAGGTAAAGTAGCGCAGCACCGTATAGCAAAAACTGGCCTGGTCATGAAGGGGGTAAATCTTCCGGGGGGCGTTGGTTAAGTAGTGCTCCAGGCTTGCAATATTTAAGGAATGTAAAAATCTAATAGGCGATTTTCAGTGGTTGCCTATAGTTCTACTTTAGAGCAAATAGACTGTGAAATTCCCAGTTGCTCCAGAGATTAGTACACGGGTAAAGGTTTACTTTACAAAGAATACATATTACATGCAAGGAAAAAAAAAACAGCATTTTTGCTGGCACATGATTGGAGAGCTCCCCCTCATTTACTAAGCTCTGGAGCAACTGCACTTTCAGAGTGCACAGTCTATGTGCCTTTGGTAAATCCACCCCATTACATGTAGTAAAATATACTTCTTTTCTTTTGCCAGATTTTCAGACTGTTTGTGAATATACTGTGAAATTATATACGACATTTGCTGCAAAAAAAACCCTAATCACTCCAACCGTAATACAATGTACATGCCTGTCACAATGGTCCAATCCAGGGGTGCTCAACCTTTTGAAGAGCAGGGGGGGGGGGCCACTTAAGTGATTTGGTAAGCGGTTGTGGGACACAGTGAAATGAAAGGGCCATATGGGCCCCCTGGAGCATGGGGCAGAGGTCGTCATTCCAACCCCTGATGACCCCAGCGGTTGGAATAAGGGGGAAAGTGGCAAATATGTGGCTCACCTATGGGGTTTTACTGCCCCACCCAAATCACAAATGTAAATGCGCCCTTACAGTCCTGACCAGGGGGGGACTGACCATTTGGAAACTTGGGGAACCCGAGGGCCCGGGGTCATTAGGGGGCCCCATGAGATGCCCCTGGTACCTTTTTCATAGGCTTTTTTGAGTTTGGGCAAGGACACAGGGGCCCCATGATCCCCTATTGCCTGGGGGCCCCATGAGTTGTCAGTCCGCCCCTGGTCCTGACCCCCTATAAGGCTGCTTTCACACTGATGTGCTGAGGGTTCCCCGCACTGCGAGGGCAGAGCAGTGCACCTGCGGCTTTCCTGTGGATTAGCTGCGCTTTGCTCATATCTTGTGGGTGTGATGCACTTTCTGAAAGCGCATCAAGACTCCTGCATTCCAGAGTTTTGGTGTGTTTCCAGAAAGTGCACCAAACCCACAGGATATATTAAAAAGTGCGCTTCCCTGGTTTGAGGTTGAGGGCCACATCAGAAGGCACTTAGGGCCACATGTTATTCACACCTGGTCTAATCCCTTGTTAGAATATATGTCATATATGTTATGGGGGATGCTTTACTTTTTCACAATTATATTTAACCTCCCTAGCGGTCTGATTATGTCCATATTTCTGTGCTCAAAGTGGTACATTTTTTTGCATGGAAATATGTATTTTTTTTATTGTAGGCCTGTAATTTTTAGGAATAACTCACTGAAATCTGTCCGAACAAGAGTCTAGTAAACATCCCGGGTATGATAAAATTTGAAACACGAAATCATAAATTATAATTTAATAAATAATCATAAAAAATAATAATATAATAATAATAAATTTAATTCAATAATAAAATCAAACCAAAAACACTGAAATGTGAAATATAGCGCCAAGTTCGCACATCGCTGAGCTCAGTCGCAGAATCGTTTTCAGTGTCTGATGAGGAATTTCCCCCACGAATCATTATCACTCAATTCTGCAAAGGTTCTGATTTACTATCGCTGTTCTCTAGCCGGTCTAAAACCGCGTCTGACCTAAAGGGACGCTTTTTGGACGCCATGGACGTTTCTCAGTTTCCAGGCAGAAAGAACAGTAAAAATGCAGGCAGGGTGCCGGACAAAGCACTCGGGACACAATGTATGTGAAATGGTTTGACAGGAATGTTATACTATGTGATTTTAGTGATTTTAGTGATTGTCACTTTTTGTAATTTTCAAATTTCCCTCCGCTCCGTCCCCCGTATGTCCCGACGCTCGCAGGGGACGGAACCCAGATGACACATGCCGGCATCCGCCGGAGGACATTGCCGGGGACACTGCAGAGGGGACATCACGGGAGCGCAGGACAAGGTAAGTGATCGAGGGGATCCCGGAAAAGCACCGCATGGTAAGCCCGAGTGTAGCTCGGGGTTACCGCTTGTGGTGCTGAAACTTTACCCCGAGCTACACTCGGGAATACCGCCAGGGGGGTTAATGGATATCTTCCCCTTGACAAGTTCCCACTGACACCCCCTAGGGCCCCAGTGTCAGAATGCCGGCTGCAATATAGCAGTCCTGCTATAAGTGGCTGATCGCCGCCATTACTGATATAAAGAGGAATAAATAAAATGACAGCATACATACCAGTGTTTTGTAGACACTATAATTGTCACACAAATTAATATACACATATTGGGATTTTTTTACCAAAAACATGTAGCAGAATACATTTTGGCCTAAATTTATGAAGAATTTTTAATTTTTTTATTGGATGTTTTATAGAAGAATGAAAAAAAATATTGTTTTTTTTTTTTAATTTTCTGTCTTTTTTAATTTATAGCGCAAAAAAAATAAAACACCCAGTGGTGATTGAATACCACCAAAAGAAAGCTCAGTTTATATAAAAAAAATGATCTAAATTTAATTTGTATACATTGTGATGACCGCACAGTTGTCAGTTAACCCCTTCACGCCTGCGCCTCTCGGTCCTGTAAGAGTTTCAGAAGCCGGGAGACGAGGTTTAGGGTCATGTGACCCGCGTGATGCAACCGCCATGGTGGTCACATGATCGGGAAAGGTCCCGATCGAAAGAGGAGATCGGGACCTTTCCGTGAGTACCGGACATGTGTGCTGGGAGCGCGCAGGGCGGGTGCTCTCGGCACATATGTCCTTTTTTAATAGAATGCAAATGTGCGCCTAGGCCCAGATGCTGGGAGGCCGCACGTTTGTGTTTCGGCCGGCGTGAAGAGGTTAAAGTGGCGCAGTGCCGTATAGCAAAAAATGGCCTAGCCATGAAGGGGGGTAAATCTTCCTGGGGACAAGTAGTTAAGATGGCTGTGTTTGTTTTCTATTTTAGGCTTTACTTCTATTATTGGCACCTGGTGATCTGGTCAGTAAGTCTCTTGTTTTTCAACAGAGCAGGCTGTGCTGCAGATGTAGCAGTTAGATGGCTGTGACAAATCATTAACCACTGACAGGGGTGCTTACAATGATCAGCTTTTTGTTTTTTTTTATGTAAAAAACCTTCATCCCAAACGAAACAAAACTGTAACTGCTTATAAAGTGTAAGCTGGAGTTTGGCTTTAATGTGTGAGTGTATTTAAATATGCTAGTACATCTAACACTCCAGCACTCCCCTCCCCCGAGACTGGCAATGCTGCTGTCCAAAGGTGTCCCCTGTACTCATCATCCAGATAGGAGGTGTGTCACTGGTCAGATCACCAGTGGAAAACAGAGGAGAATAACCTATAAGAAAACCAATGCAGACACCATATCTAATGATTGCTAAGCTGCAATACATTACATGTTGTTGGGTTTAATACCCCGGTAACCCCAGCACAATGATAACCCCCAGTACAATAATCAAACAACAAGTGTTAGGGCAAGCAATAACCCCCAGCACAATAGTAACCTGCAGCACAATAATACCCCAAACATAATAATAACATGCAGCACAATAATAACCCCCAGCATGATAACTTGCAGCACAATAATAACCCCCAGCATGATAATAACTCGCAGCACAATAATAACCCCCAGCATGATAACTTGCAGCACAATATTAACCCCCAGCATGATAATAACTCGCAGCACAATAATTAACCCCCAGCATGATAATAACTTTCAAAAGAATAATAACCTTCATCATGATAATACCGGGGAGCACAATAATAACCCCCAGCATAATAGCTTGAAGCATAACAGTAACCCGCAGCACAATAAATGCCCCCACCATGATAATAACTTGCAGCACAAAAATACCCATCATCAGGATAATAACTTGCAGCACAATAATAACCCCCAGCATGATAGCTTCAAGCATAACAGTAACCCCCCGCACAATAATGCCCCCACCATGAGAATAACTTGCAGCACAAAAAAAACCCTGCAAAATAATAACTTGAAGCATAATAATAATCTCCGCATCATAATAACCCCAGAAACAATATTGTCCCCCCACATGTTAATAAATTGCAGCATAATAAATAACCCCCCGCATGATAATAATTTGCAGCACAATAATAACCCCCCGCATGATAATAATTTGCAGCACAATAATAACCCCCAGCATGATAATAATTTGCAGCACAATGATAACCCCCCAGCATGATAACAACTCGCAGCACAATAATAACCCCCAGCATGATAACAACTCGCAGCACAATAATAACCCCCAGCATGATAATAACTTGCAGCACAATAATAACCCCCAGCATGATAACAACTCGCAGCACAATAACAACCCCCAGCATGATAACTACTTGCAGCACAATAATACCCCCCGGCACAATAATGACTCTGAGCACAATAATAGCATTTGCATCAATCGGACTGCGGACATAAACCATTATGAATTGTTTTAGAAAAAAATAGATCTGTTAATAAACAAACTGCAAAACATTTGTGTGATATTTACTGAACAATCCTGTAAATTAAAACAAATATTGTGCAGTTCAGCTTGTACACAAGAAATCAGCAGATGGCCCCCCCCCCCCCCCCCATGTTAAGTAGTATAGATGGATAGTGCAGCCTCTCTGTCCAAGTGATAGGAAGCCGCTGTGAACCTCAAGGAAGCATCCAGAGGGGGCCACACCACCATTTTGCTGTCACGTGGTGAAGTGTGGCATGGCAACGTGTTTCAGGGTGGAAGTGCCCCTTTCTCAAGCCGGCCTCACAAGTGCTGGAATAATTAGGCTCCGATCGGCACCATTTTTTGTAGGATGCCCAGCGCTTCCAATTCTGGCTGACACCATTCTAGATTCTTATGCAAAACCAATGTGTTCAAAGGCTGATGTCAGCATTTATTAGACACAAGAATTCAAATTTATGAGTTACAAAAAAAAAATGAAAAAAGTTAAATAAAATAGATTAATTAAAAAATGTGAATTAATAAAAAACTACTATATGCCTAAAAATGATATATATGCATAAAAAACAAGGTATCATAATAGATGGGTCATCTCAGAAGCATCATACTAGTATAATAAATGACTGGAAGTGCTGAAAATATATAAAAAGGATGAATATGAACTCGACAATAAAATTATAAAGGATATATGTGAAACAATCCCGATAAAGGTTACTGCATACTAACTGACAGCATTGCAAAGGACTGACCATTTGGAAACTCGGCACTTCCCAAGGGCCCTGGTCAGTAGTAGGGCCCCATGAGATGCCCCTGAGGTACCCTTTTCATAGGCTTTTTTGAGTTTGGGCAAGGACACAGGGGCCCATGATCCCCTATTTCCGGGGGCCCCATGAGTTGTCAGTCCGCCCCTGACTGACATATTGCAAAGGAAAGAAATAGGAGATAGAAATCAATACTGACATTATTAGAACCTTTATTAAAGTACAATATATCCTATACAGTATTTGTATTGGCACCTCATATACATAGCAGTCATTCCCCTTTACATCAGGAGCCCCTACTTAGCACCAGGAGTCCCCTTTTACATCAGAAGTCTCCCTTTAAATCAGGAGCCCCTCCCCCCCCTTTCTCCTTTACATCAGGCGGCCCCTACTTAGCACCAGGAGTCCCCTTTTACATCAGAAGTCTCCCTTTAAATCAGGAGCCCCTCCCCCTGTTCTCCTTTACATCAGAAGCTCCCTACATAGTATCAGGAGTCCTCTTATAACATTAGAGCCCTTCTTTACATTAGAAGTTTCCCCTACATCAGGAGTCCCCATATACATCAGAATTCTCCTTTACATCAAGAGCCCCTACTTAGTATCAGGAGTCCTCCTTTAACATCAGAGTCCCCCTTTATATCAGAAGCCTCCCTGCTCATTAGCATTCCCCTTCACATCCCCAGTGGCCTTTTAAATCAGGAGCCCCCCCTCACCTCAAGGGCCCCCTTTACATCAGGAGTCCCCTTTAAATCAGGAGTCCCCTTTACATAACTAATCCCCTCTTTACATCATGAGCTCCCAACTTAACACCAGCAGTCCCCCTTTTTTACATCAGAGTTCCCCCTTAACATCAGGAGTCCCACTTTCACATCAGAGTCCTACTTTATATCAGGAGCTCCCTACTTAGCACCAAGATTCCACCTTTCCCATCAGAGTCACCCTTTTCATAAGAAATCTCCCTCTTCACACTGGGAGTCATTAGCTCCCTTTTACATAAAAAGCCCCCCCCCCAACCTGTACATTAGCAGTCCCCCTTTGCATCAGTAATCCCTACTTACATGAGGAGCACCCCTTTCACATCAGAGTTCCCTTTAAACATCAGGAGTCTCCTTTTCATAAGAAGTCTCCCCCTTCACACTAGGAATCCCTTTTACATAAAAAGCCCCCCCACTGTACATTAGCAGTCCCCTTTTCATCAGTAGCCCCTTCACATATCAGGAATCTCCCTTTACACATCAGAGATCCCCTTAACATCAGCAGTCTTCCTTTCACATCTGGAGTCTCCCCTTACATCAGGAGCTCCCTACTTAGCACCATGGAGTCCTCCTTTAATATCAAGTCCCCCTTTATATCACAGTTCCCCTTCACATCATCAGGGGCCCCTTAAATTAGGAGTCTCCTTACTTCAAGTGCCCTTTTACATCAGGTGCTGCCCTTTCACATCAGAGTCCCCTTAAATCAGTAGTACCCTTTACATCAGAAGTCTCCCCTTACATCAGGAGTCCCTGTTAGCATCAGGGGTCCTCCTTAACATTAGACCCCCCTTTACATTACTTACTGCCCCTACGTCTGCAGTCCCCATATACATCAGAAGTCTCCCTTTACATCAAGAACTCCTTACTTAGTTTCAGGTTTGTCCTCTTTTAACATCAGAGTCCCCCTTTATATTAGCAGTGCTCCCTGCTCATTAGTGTTCCCAAACATAACCTGACCAGTGGTTCTTTAAATCAGGAGACCGCCCTGTTTACATCGGCAGGGCCCCGGTTTACATCAGCAGCCACCCTTTAATTAAGGAGCACCCCCTTTACATAAGTAATCCCCTCTTCACATGGGAGCCCCCTTTACACCAAGAGCTCCCAAC